TAGGCCCATCAGGTTCCTCTGGAAGATGCTGGGAGTGGGTGCTTCTGGGAAGAGAAATCTCCCCTCTGCTGTCCCCACCTTCAAATACAGGTCCATTAGACGCTGGCCATGGAAGTCTGGTTTCGGAGCAGACACGGGAAAAAGGCAGGAGTAGGTGAGATGAGGAAACAGGGATTGATGGCCTGGCTTCTAAGCACACCAGGGCTGTTGCTATGTAAGACACTAGCCAAGGCACCCACTCTATCCCAACTCCCTTCTTCAAAATGCAGACTCTAAGCCACCAGGGGGTGCAGGGAGTCAGTAGCTGGCATGGTCTGCCAGGGCCTGGTACCTGGGAGTAAGCCTAAGCACCTCTAATTCCCACCCCTTCTGCAGTCACCTACCATGTCCTGGGGGCTGAAGGGTGGTGGCTGTGGACTTCACCCGGCCTTTCCTTTATTCCTCCTGTGGCCTTTCTGGGCCTGCACCGTGACTGCCTTAAGGGCCACGTGCAGCAGGAAAATAAGGATTTAGCACCCCCTGTTGGCAAAGTCGGGTTATGTCTGGGTGGTGCCGAAAAGGGGAGGCTCCTGGCCAGCTGTTTGTGACAGGTTGTACCCGAGGGATTTTTCTCTAGGACACTCTTCTTTCTGCTGTCAACATTCATCAAGGGCCTCCAGCCATTTGACTTTAAAGTTGTCATCTTCATTCATTAATCAATATAATATAATATAATATAAATCAAGTGTTAGACAGACATAACCAAGATCCCCCTTGTGCCTTGGAACCAGAGCAGAGAAGCCTACAGTTCAGACTTCAGATGATTTCCATAGGGCACCCATTCATCCACCTGCCACCCACCCACTGACCCATTCAGCCATTCACTTACAAGGCACTAGCTTCCGCTACCATAATGAATCTTGAGACAGCCAACTTTGGAAAAAGAGGAACAAAGGTCTATTTCCAATGCATAATTTTGAAGGTTTCATCCCATGGTGGTTGGCATTTCACACTGGGAAGCAGCTGGTGGGGACAAAACAGAAACCTAAGTCCCCGCACACACGGCCAACAGCACCGCTTTCGGAACCAACCACCCAGGCCACTCTTCCTCGAGCCGAGCAATGAATGAAACAATCGAAGCTGTCTCTCCTTGTGCAGTTTATATGCTAGAGAGGGGAGCTGCAAAGAAACAACACGCAGAAATGAGTCAGGGTTGTTGACTGCTTAGAAGAAAGTGACGCTACTTAAAAACACGGAAGGCAGAACGAGGCAGGAAAGCTGTTGTGTATTGAGAGGGAGGGTGGACTTTAGCAGTCCAGAGTCCTGGAAACCCTCTGTAGCCGACAGCTCTGGTTTTGAGGCAGGGTCTCACTATGTAAACCAGGCTTTACTTGAACTCAAGGGGACCCACCTGCCTCTGCTTCCCAAGTGCTGGGATTTAACTGGGTGTGCCACCACACACCTGACTCATTTTTATTTTAGTTTGGGAACAGGGACCTGGGTGTTCTGGGAGGATAGGCTACTTTGGGTTCACATCTGTTCCTGGACTGTCAGGGCTAGCTGGGCACAGCTAAGAGGCCTTCACACATCCCTGTCTGCCCTGTTGTGTCAGCACACAGGCATCTCCTGTTCAGTCTGCATATCATCTGGGCGGTAGATCTCCTGACCTCTGACTGAAACCAAGAGAAAGGGGAGGCTTGCCAAAGCCACACAAGCAGGAGGGCCTAGGCTCTGGGGGATGGTGCCCGAGATCCCCAGACATAACCTCCCAGGCTTCCTTGTGCAGCGGTCCGATCAATCCCACTTCAGCCTGCCCTTACATTATGGCCTCCTCAAAAAAGGGGAGGCGCCATAGGCTCGTTGTGCTTTGAACAGGCTCTTCTTGCTTTGGTGATGCTCAATAGTTGGCAAGCACCCAGTTCACCTGGAGTCTTGCCTGTGCTTCCAGTCCCCAGCTCTGGCCTCCTCCAAAGAGCAGGGGTCCTCGCGGCTTGTGAACTCTTTAGGTGATGCCTCTGATCCTTAGATTTGTTCCAGCCTGACACTCCGTGGAGCCAGTTCTTTGTAGTGATGCCAAGGGCATTTTAGGTAATGGGAAGCTCCTGGGAAGAGTCTTCTAGAAGGGAAAAGATGGGTTGCATTACCCTTGAGTGCACTTCCAGCAGGCATGGAGACTTCAGACTGCACAGAGATGAGTAAAGGGAGAAGAGCAAGGAAGCCCGCCGGGTGGGTGACGCAAGCTCTGGGATGTGGAGAAGGGAGGGACACTGGGACGCAGACCCCTAGAGCTTAGAAGACAATGGGCTTTATGGTCAGCTGATTTCGACTAACATTGTAACACAATGTTATCTATAAATTTGGGGCTTGAGAACTGGGCAGCCGAGTTACAGAAGAAAAGCAACAGCTTTCTCATAGTCTTTTAAGTTTTGGCTTTGTTTTGGGTCACATCCGTGGCTGTGGTGGGGCATGGAAGGCACAGCAACTACAGGTTAACATAGCCAGTACCTTCCATGACAAATGCACCCTACTTGTGTGTCTGGTAGGATCAACTCATTCCTTTGAGCCTCTAGTTTCTCGTCTATAAAGTGACTTGTGGAACCAACTCAGGGGTTACACCAGGAGAAACCGACACTAGCTCTGAGTTGATTATTGCCTGGATTCCCACAGTCCCCCCCCCCTTTTCTACTTCCTCTGCTCAAGATCCATCGGCCCTGAAGTTCATGGAGGAGGGCTGTCCTGTTGGCATCAGCTTGTCTGATCCTGACACTGATTTTAGCTGACATGGAAGATGAGTGTAGATTAGAAGCTAGGGGTACTAAAGTCAATGTATAGTTGAGGAGTTTGGAGGAGGGAACTGATGAACCCCAATGCTAACAATTTAGCGCTAGGCATTAGGGGTGCTATTTCTTTGTCCTACAGCATCATTTACAATAGATGGTTCCTATACAAAATGTCTTGGCAGAGTTCCAAACTTCTAAGTTCCCTAGTGACCTCAACCCATATACACTTTCTTCTTACAAACCCATTTTTCCAGGAGAAGGCATTTCTTTGTGGGTGCACTCGGTGTGTGCATGCAGAAGGCAGGGGTTGATGCTGGGTGTCCTCCCCAATTGCTCTCCCTTATTTATTTATTTTTTAAATAGCATCCTTTACCGAAGCCGAAGTTTTGCTTTGGTTACACTGGCTGGCCAGGGAGCACCCTGGATGTTTCAGAGTGTGTTTAGTATTTTGGAGTGCTGATACTATGCACAAAGTTTTATACATGTGTGGGCAGGGTTGTTATTGCTTGGGAAAGTTTGCAAATGGTGGAAGGGTATAGGCTAGTATTTTGTATGGAGACTGGCTTAAAGACTGGCAGCTGACAGCCCCAGCCCATCTCATCCCCTGGGGTCTGCTGGCTTAGTTTGTTTTGCTGGTTCTTTGAGGTATTAAGAAGCTATTTCTTGATCATTTCTGGTATTCTGACAGGTTTCCAGAAGTGTTAGCCACGTGTTCACTGAATATGGTCCTGGGGGCATGATAGAAATGGAGTCTTGGTTCTCGTCCCAACACTCGTCGAACCAAAGTCCAGGTGTGTGGCTTCACTGTCTGAGGTCTCTACCACACCAGGTGGCTCAGCTGGACCGAAAACTTGAGAGGCTGCATCCGAGGCTCGGAAAACTAGAAATAAAAGCCAACAGCAGCCGTCACGGCATTAATGGGAAACCATGTGAGATCAGGATGGAGGGACTGGGTATCTGGTATGACTATCTTGGTGGAGCGTGAGGAAACAAGCAAAAAGAAAGGCTAATGTTCTAAAATGGGTTGGCTACCCTTTTCTATAAAGGTCCAGATAATAACTAGTTGAAGCTTTGGGGGCCGGAGAGATGGCTCAGCAGTTTAAGAGCACTTCCCGCTCTTGCAGAAGGCCAGGTTTTGATTCTTGGCACTTGCAAGTCTGCTCACAACAATCTGTAGCTCCAGTTCCAGGACGTCCAATTCCCTCTTCTGGTCTCCATGGGCACTGCATGCATGCGGTACAACATACGTTCAGGCAAAACACCCATTCACATATAAAGACATACAACATTTCAAAAATCATTTAAATAACTAGTTGAACCTCCAAGGGCCATATGACCTCCATCACAGCTATTCAACTCTGCCATTTGCAAAAGCAATCACAATGAGTCCACGACTAAACTGTGTTCCAATAAAGTACCTTTTAACTTTTAAAAGTTTATCTTTGCATGTATACAGATCTGTTTGTGTGCATGCACACATGTATGTGCATGTGAAGGCTGGAGTCTAGATGGAGCTCATCTTGCTGGCCAGCAAGCTGTAGGGATCCTCTTGTCTCCCCCCCTCCCTAGTGCTGTGACTACAGGCACATGCTGCCATACCCAGCTTTTTAACATATTTAGGGGATTGAACTCAGGTCTTTGTATTTGTACAGCAAGCACTTCACCAACTGAGCCATTTTCCCATTCTCCAGTTACTTGTTACCTAGAAAAACAAGCGAGAGGTCAGATTTGAGCCCCAGGAAATCATGTACTGATCTGTTTCAGTAGGACGATTTACTTGGTCCTGGGGTTGGACAGAAAAAAACCCTCCCATCTCTATTAGAACCACATGAAACAGGATGTGGTTGGTGCACAAGAATCTAGAAAAAGCCAACTCCCCCCCCCCCCCCCCTTCTCCTAGGTGGCCTTACTATGCTTGCTTAGGACACATTCTAATGGCATCTGTGTAGAATGTTCCAGCAGCTGGGCCTGGGATACGTACACATGCCATTTGGAGTCTAAGCCCAAAATATAGAGGTAGGAGGAGCCAGTAATGAACCGGAGAATAATTTTGTCCCCCCAACCATGCCAGGACCCCCAGGGAAGGCTGTCTTGTTTTCTGTGATCAGTCTCTTTCTCTGTAGGTTCCTGTCAGGCTACTGAGGCCCATTCAAGTACCCAGAGTCAGAGTCACCGGCAAGACATCAACCCAAACCCCAGGGTCGGCTAGTGAAGAGGTCCTCCAGAAGGAAGGTCTTCATAACACTCCATGGGAAGATGATGAAGTTGTGACAGGTCCTGATGGACCATTTCTTGCAGCTGACTAGCCAGCAGATGCAGGGCCTCTCACCAGAAGACCAGCAATGCACACAAGCCTCCCAAAATCAGGAAAAGAGGATGGGCTATTTACTGTCCCAGATAGTCAACCTCTTATGGTCTGAGGCTGTAAAGAGACTGAAGTTCAAAGAATCTTTCCCTCACTGGCATTCTAGATGTGACACTAAAGTTGGGTAGCAGACAAACCCGGTCCCTGGCTGGGTGGTTTTGAAGCTGCCTTTGCCAGGCATGTCCTGTCCAAATGTGGTACTGCCATCTATGAATTCTGCCACAACAACTTTGAGAGTTTTGAGGCCTATCAGAGAAACAAATACCACAAAAAAGTAACCCTCTGGTAAGACATGGACATCCTTGAGAGCCCCAATCAGTGAAATTTACTGAGTCCTGTGCCAAGTACTGTATGCTTTCCACTCTTTATGATGCGCTGACACAGTTGTCTTAAGATAATGGTCACAGACATAAGCTGATAATGCCCCAGAAGCAGGAGAACTGGGGGTTCCTGAGTCCCTTCATCCCTACCATCTTTCCTTTAATTTCAGCATTTATTAGATACAAGCAGTCAGTCACTGCACTCATACTGGTAAATGAGCATGCCTTTATGAAATGAAATATAATGACAAGTGTAGGCAGCCATGAGAGAAACGAGTGTTTATACTATTTCCAAGAGCATAGAAGGGATACCCTTCTCAGGTGATCCAGCCAGGCAATATGATGGTGTCTGTGGTCCTCCTACAGGGGTGAGAAACATGAGCTTGGTGTAGTTGGGAAGGAAGACCCATGTGCCAGAATGGAGACAATGAGTACTGTGATTAGACGTATGGACACAGGTGGACAGATGTTAAAATGTTCCCTTGAGGGCAGTAAGCAGCTAACACCAGGGTTTTAGCCAAGGAGATTGACAGCAGCTCTCCATTCAGAGGGTAGAGGATGGCTGTAGCCATGCCTTCCCTTTTGTCGCTTGTCTAGGTTTTCTATGGCCAGCCAGTGGCCATCTCCTTTTCTAGGGACTGAAAAGTTTTATGCCTGCCATTGAGGAATATGGGCTGGTACACGGAGCACAATCCAACTTCCCTGATTTGTCTGTTGGACTGGGGAGGGGACTTAATAGCTGCACAATTTTAGGTTCTTGGGAAGTTTTCTGACACTTAATGCTGCTTGACACTGATTCAACTGTTTTGTGACACACTGATATCTTCCCTTAAACAAATCTACAATGGTAATTTCTTGGAACGCTCAAAGGAGTCCTAGGATGGAGCAAGAGGACTGATGCAGATTCTTTGCGCTTCCAGGACTACATTAACCTTGGTACCTGTGAGAACAAGCTTTGCTTTGACCCAATAAAAGAAAGGGTTAGCCAAGTTCTCGGCTTTGCTGAGACTCAACCCCTCTGGGCCTGGTTCCCTAGTTTATCCCTCTGCTTGTGGAAGGTCCAGGAGGAAGACACAGGTATTTGGGGGAGAGCAGAGACACTGCTTCTAGACCAACACACCTAAGCTTCTGGAAGGTATGCAGTGAGTAGCTGCAAAAAGAGCTTTGAGTTAAGGAGGCTGTCCAATGCTTGCCATTCATGCTTGTGTGTATCTAGGACAAGGCCAACCTCCCTTCATGAAGAAGCACACAGACTGTATCCTCACTCCCCTTCTGGGAGACATGTAACTTCAGGGCAGAGATTTGTGCATGAACTAGGAACAAATTAAGAACCCCTCCTTTGGCCTCCCTGAACTTCTGTCTTTATGTTCTATTTGTCAACAGTTGAATAAATGTAACATGAACTTCATTGATGAGATCCTGCTGCAGTACTCTGACTGGCTAGGACAGCCCTTGTAAGTGATTTTCAGAACGAGGGTCTCTTGGTATACAGGCACCTTTCATCCATCATCCATTGATGTACATCATATATTAGATATATGTAACCTATATATTGGCTATATGTAACATATATTGGATATATGTAACATATATATTGGATATAGGCACACACACATACACACACACACACACATCATTGAAGAATCTAGGTGTAGTACAAGCTGGCCTCCAGCTCCCTATACAGCTGAGAATGACTTTGAATCTGATCCTCCTACCTTCACCTCCTGGGTGTGGGGAGGTGTCTACTAGCATGCCTAGTTTTATTATGCTGTTGAGGATGGAACCCAGGGCTCATTGCATGCATTTTAGGCAAGCATCTGAGGACAAGCACCCCTAAGCCAAATCCCTTTCCCCCAAAGGCACCACATTAAGATTGACTACCTTCCTATATATTTAGCTAATAACTTCCAGGAAATACCTAACAGGCATGTCCAGCTTGAGGCATGATAGTTAATGTATGCAGCCTAACATAACATTGTTAAAACTTATTTTTAAAACATTGAAAAATTTTGGCTGATTAAAAACAAACTTGATCCCACAGTTCTCGAATATGAATTGTGTAGATGACAGTGGCTGCATTTGACATCAAAGGTTGGATTTGCTTAATAACAAAACCTCTCGGAGGTGGCCTAATCTGGCAGAAATAGCATGTTTCTACAACTCAAGCACAGCTTTTCCCACCTCTCAGCATCTGTGTGACCCTGGAGAGGTGGCATCTTTTAGTCTGTAGCCCTATCAGCTGAGTAGGCCTGGGTAACATCTCTTTAAGGTTGAATACTGTGCTCTTTAAAAGCATGTCATCTAGATTCTCAATGAGAAGGAACACCTGGGAACTATAGGGTCTCTTTGGGTTTGTCTGCAGCCTTCGGAAAGAGCTGGCCACCTTTTTGACCCACTACTGCAGGGCACCTACACCCCTATATTCAGAAAATGTAAGTCGGTATTGTGGAGGGCTGTGTTCTTGGGTTCCCACTGAGTTACCTATAGAATACGAAGAGAACCTTCAGAGCAGCAGGGCACTGTAAAACCCAGCTAAAGGAGGTCCCTGTGGGAAGTCCAGGAAGAAGGACCCAGGTTGAGGTCCAGTTCAAGGAGGGCCTGGGACGTACCCTTTGGGAGGAGAGGGGGATGGTGTGTGGATACTCCCTCCTTATGCAGGTACTGATTTGACTTCTGCCTCTTGGACCTTGTCCTCAGGTGGGTGGTTCTAAATGGCTGCTGGTCAGTCTTTTCCTCACTGGCCATGGCTGTGTGACCCAGGTGGTAAGTCGGCAGGCTCTGCTCGCCTTCCTGGTATGTGGGCAGGGACGCCTAGGTCCTGGGCCTTGGAAGAGAAGACCATGTTTGTTAACTTTCTACAAGTGCGGGTCATTCTGTCCTGCCAGAGATATCTTTGTATCATTTCCGGGAAATCAAGGGAGTTGGAGTCCTCATTTAATACGGAAGAAGCATGTGACAGTTCTCAAAGAGGTGATCTAGATGAAAAGATCCACAGACCAAAAGAATGAGAAGGAAAAGCTATGGAATCCACCAGGTCCAGTGCTATGAATCTTTCTTGGACATGGCCTTTGGCCTTAGTATCTGGCCTAGCACAGACAGACTTGTTCAGTTTTGTTGTTTTGTTTTTGTTTTTGTTTTCAGTTTACTTGAAGACAGCTGCTCAGTCAGAAAGGTATTTGTCACTCATGCCAAGGACCCTAGTTTGATCCCTGGAACCCATGTAAAAATCTGGGCATGGTGGGGTGTGCTCATAATCCTGAGGCTGTGGAGGCAGGGACAAGCAGATCCCTAAAGATTGCTTGCCCAGACAGCCTAGCTCTAGGTCAGTGAAGATACACTGTCTTAAAAACAAGGTGTATTGTTCCAGAGGGAAGGACTCTGGGGTTGACCTCTGACTCTCACATGCACACAGATACACGGGTCCCCACACAGACACTAGGCCCTCAACGCAAAGACTTTGTCATGGGAAGTGCCTGACTAGATTCCCAGTTCAGGCTCTGAGCTGTTCACTGTGATCATCCCTCTTCAGTGTGCTTGCAAAATGAAACTAGAGTTTGCTCCACAAATAATGCGTGTATAAATGGATAATTTTTTTTAAATGAAACTTGAGCGCAAGGATGGAAGAAGGGATTCCTACCCGGGACTCTTGTGTTGGGAACCTTGCTGCTCATCTTGACTGCCGGACAGCTTTGTAGCCTTGTACTCCTGGATGCTTTTCCGATCCCCACACCATACTACAATGACTTCGCCTTTAGCTCCTGCCTTTATTCAAAAGTTGAACTTATTCCTGTCTGCTTGGAAAGCCAGGTCAGAATGGGGCCCCTTCCCTGCTCAGCTCACTTTGGCAAAGGACTGTTCCGGGGCCCTGAGGAGACAGAGGGACCGTGTTCTCTGAGAGATAGTGGGGGTAGGGTGATACCAGGCTGGAGAAGGCATGTGGACAACACCCTAACTTGACTGTATGGGGCTTTTGGCTGAGAAACTAGGTTCGGGAATAAGCCCCTCTCAACTGCATGTGTCTCCCAGGTCTAGGAGACCAACTTGCATTTTTTCAACTCACTGTGGATAAGCTGGAGCATGCCCTGACTTAGGCTAAGATGAAGGTAAGGAGAGGGGAGCCTTAATTTTGGAGTGGCCACTGTTAGCCCTAAAAAAAGCCTGAGTAGTATGACTGACATACAAGTTGTGGGGGATTTTCTCTACATGGGAAGCAGCAAGTAGCTCTAAGTACCTGACTTCACTGACTTCACTATAGCAGTAAACCCCACCCACAGAAACTTCCAGAACCTTTTCTTTTCCCTCTTGCCAGCAGCAAGGCATCATGCCCATGAGGTCCTACCTAGGCTTTATGTTAGATGTCCCAAGTCATAAAGGATGCTTGGTAGAATTTGGAGTAAATGTGGAGGACTTGTATTCACTCTTGTGTTTGCATTTCTTCTCAGGCAAAAAAGGTCAAAGGACTTGTCCTAATCAACCCCCAGAATCCTCTGGGTGATGTCTATACCCGATCGATGCTGAAAGAATACCTGACCTTTGCCGGGAAGTAAGTGTTCCACCCCATCACTTGAAGGCATTAGACACAGACATAGCTTACCCAAGATTACCCATTCTATAATATGCTTTGCAGGGTTCTAGAAAGACTACTGAGTGAAGGAGAAAGGGGTCCATGTTCACCATTTCTGTTTTCTTATTGGCTCTCCAGCCTTTCCCCATACAGACATACCTAGAAAGACTACTGAATGAAGGAGAAAGAGGTCTGTGTTCACTATTTCTGTTTTCTTATTTGCTCTCCAGCCTTTCCCCATACAGACATACCTAGAAAGACTACTGAATGAAGGAGAAAGAGGTCTGTGTTCACCATTTCTGTTTTCTTATTTGCTCTCCAGCCTTTCCCCATACAGACATACCTAGAAAGACTACTGAATGAAGGAGAAAGGGGTCCGTGTTCACCATTTCTGTTTTCTTATTTGCTCTCCAGCCTTTCCCCATACAGACATACCTAGCCATCAGGAACAACTTTGTTGCTTTTCTACTCCCCACAGCAGAAGTACTTTATCCCAGTATCTGTTCCCAAACCACCTGGACTGCAGTACCAAAAATGACAGATTCTCCAAGGCAGGTCACTGTAGAACTTTCATGGCTCACTGCTAAGAACATGATAACAGCAGTTGCCTCTGGAGTCCTGCAGCACCCCTGCTAGGACAGATAACCTAGCACTCAAACTTCATGACTACCCCAAACCAGCCAGCAGAGGGGAGGGACAGCAGAGGGGGAAGAGACAGGGTACAGGAGGCTGCTGTCAAGAACTCAACGGAGCTGAGTGCAAATTCCAGGTGCCTTGGTTGCTTTCCTGTTGCTGTCATAAAATATTCTGTAAAAAGTAAAAACAGGAAGGGTTATTCGGCCTCATGGTTTATGGGTAGCACATCACGGCAGGGAAGTCATGGTGGTAGGAGATTCAAGCAGCTGCTCACGTTAGGATCCGTGGAATGTAGAGAGCAAGGGCTGTTCTGCTCAGCTGGTCCCTCTCCCCTTTTCCCCCTCTCCTTCTCCCTCCTCCCCCTCTCCCCACTTCTCCACCTTTCCCCATTCTCCACCTTTCTCCCTCATCTCCCCCTCTCCCCCTTCTCCACCTCGTCCCCCACCACCCCTCTCTACCTCTCTCCGTCCCTGTTGTTCAGGACTCAAGGCTGCTCCCTGTAGGGTGGGTCTTCCTATCTTAATTAACCTAAATGGGGTAATCCCTCACTATGAGTCCAGAGGCTGGTCTCTTAGGTGGCTCCTGTGAAGTTCACAATATGTTAATTATCACATCACCTGAACTCTGGGACCCTACTAGGTTGAACCGTCTTAGAACCTTAACTTGCATCTGTGAATTGGGGGTGATGGTACTGTGTCAGAGGGTTGTCAAGAATTGAGGATGTGAGTGTGCTCAAAAGCCCCTGTGACTTCAGTTTAGACCCTGGTGGCAGCTGCTGACTGTCACTGATGTAAACACCTGGGAAAGTTTCCGTCTTCTTCCATCCTCTGCTTGATATTTAAAGGGTCAGATGCGGTATCTCGAGAGTCCTGTTCCATCTTCTGTACCACCAGCCAGAGACACAGGTCCCTTCTTGTGTGCCACCTCTTTGTACATTGTAGTGCCCCTCTGGAAGTGGAGTCAGCTACTGGGATTACAGAAGTCTATGATCTGTATCTGAAAGCAGAAAATAGATTACAAAGACAGCAAGGCATGGTAGCGCATGCCTTTAATCCCAGCACGTGGGAGGCAGAGGCAGGCGGATCTCTGTGAGAATGAGGGCAGCCTACTCTATAAACCGTGTTCTGGGATACATCAAGAAACCCTCTCTTGAAAAACAACAACATCAGTTGAATAGATGGCTCAATGGGTACCTGCTACCAAGCCTGATAAACTGAGTTTGATCCCCAGGATCTATATGATGGGAGGACAAAACTGATTCCAAAGAATTGTTCTCTGCCTTCCACCCACGAACCTCATGCACACGTGCATGCACACATGTGCAAAATAAAATGTAGTAATCTTAAAAACTGCAGGTAGAAACTAGTTCTATTTTCTTCTCTCACCCAACTATAGGAACAACCTACATGTGATCATAGATGAGAGCTACATGCTGTCTGTGTTTAATGCATCCATCACATTTCACAGTGTTCTGAGTATGAAACAGTAAGTTTGCCCCCAGTAGTGTTGGTAGCAAGAACCATGGGGTTCCTGAGGTTCCTGCATTGTAAGGTGAGTTCATGAAGTAGGTAGGGACTTGTGTGCTGGGGGAATGAGTCAAGTGTCAATGGGGATTGTGAATATGAACAAAGTGTCCTTTACTCTCCTGAGTATTGAGTCCAGATGCCATTCTGTGTATAAGTGAATGCTAGAGCAAGGCAGGAGTGTATCATTAAAGGTCAAGGGGCAGCAGGTCAGTCAGTAAAGTGCCTGGTGTGCAAGCATGAGGATGAGTTGGAATCCCAGAACCTATGTAAAAGTCTAGCACGGCAATGTGCATCTATAACCTTAGAGGTTGGGGAGGGGCTAAGAGCCAGATCTGGAGCTCACTGACCAGACAGCCTGGTTGAATGGAGGAACATCAGGTTCAATGGGAGTCCTTGTCTGCCGTGGGGGTAGTGGGGGCGGGGTAGAAAGTGTTCTAGAAAAACACAGAGTTTTAATCTGTGTTTTTTTCACTCCTATATACATGCATATGTGCGCACACACAGGCACGTAAGTGGACACACATACACATGTACATATGTACATATCAAGGAAAGGCCCAGGGGGATGGTCAGAGTAGGGATTTCTTTTCCACACAGCATCTTACTATGTAACCAAACCTGGCCTCAAACTCTTTAACTCTCCTGTCTCCACCTCCTGAGTTCTGTGAATATACGTATGTCCCATCATGTACAACTTGAATGGGGGGTGGGGGGGGAGCAGAATTTGACCATAGGGATAGGTTTCATCAAAGCAAGACATAGGCATATCTGCTAGAAGAAACAGATTCACCAAAGGCAGGGCAGTGAGTGAGAGAGGTGAGCATATTCTAGAACCAGTGGGCAGTTGATGGCCTGAAAGGGCAGCTGCCAAGGAAGTGATTTTGGACCAGAGCTACAGGAGGGTTCTGCACTTCATATGGTACTTGAGTACTGTTTCACGTGTGCTTTTCAGGGACCTTGTCTCCCTACCTATCTCTTGAAACTGGGCACCTTAGACCCTGTCTAGGAAGAACCTAAAGTCCACTTTCTCCTTTCCATCAGAGGTCATTTATCCACCCTTTAACCATTCCTCCAATCTTTATTTTTTAAAAATTTCTTTTCTATCTTGCCTGAACCTAACAGGACCCATATGATCTGGGACACTAGTAAGGTAAGCCCCCGCCATCTGTCTTTGGGTCTGGAAGGAAGGGAAGCCAGGAACAGAATACAGGGAAAACTATATGTTACTTCCCCAACTTCTCCAGGATTTTGGCATTTCTGTCTTCCATTTTGGCGTTCTCTACACACACAACAAGAAGGTAGCCTCTGCCATGGGAGCTTTTGGCTACCTCCATGGTGTCCCTGGCATTGCACAGTACAAGCTGTGCAAATGCTCTATGACAAAGGTACTGAGCGGGACTCTAGGAGAGCATCTTGACTGGACTTCATGACCATGGGGGATTGCTGGGTTTTCCGGGGTCTCTACCATGTGCTAGATACACTTGAGGATCTGCTCACTGTTGAAAGTTAAACTGAGATGGGTGAGGTTCAGAGAAGGGCAGGATGCAGCTCAGATAGCGAATGCTAGTTATAGCATGGCTAGAAGATGGAGAGCCCGTCCCAAACCAGGCTGAGATTTGATTCTGAAAGTCTAGTAGTTTTTGCTCGGCTTAGAAAAGCACTGCTCGTGAATGGCTCCCTAAGACCTGAAGATAAGAACTCAGGCTTCAGCTAGACAATCTTGCTTTTCTTCTTTGAGACAGGGTCTCAATATGTAGCGGTGGAACTCACCATGTAGACAGGCTGGCCTTGAACTTGGAGATCTGCCTCCCTTGCCCATGCTTCCCTAGTGATTAAAGCACGTGCCACTACACCCAGCAGAGACCAGTGTGTGTCTTTTGAACCTACTTGCCTCAGGCAAAAATTTTTATGACTTTTCCAATATGGATTAAAATAATTTCCCAGGGGGCACATAGGAGAATAGTGTTTTGGGGAGAGTCGATGTAGCTGGATCTATGGTCTCTAGATTCTCCAGGGACCTCAAGAGAATGCTGGACCCGAGAGGAGACCTTTCTCTTTAATGTTATGACTCAAATATAGAAAAGTCATTCTAATTTCCTATAATAGATGCTTGACTTGAAGGCTTAAACCAATAGATGGGCTATATTGAGACAATCTATGGCATTTAAAGAAATGAACTAACATCATTGGACAGGTTTAGAAGAAAACAGCTTGCTTTCAGTTTTGGGTAGAAAAAGGAGCAGAGAGAAGCCTATCTGATGGCTAACCCTGCATGGTGTCAGCTTCTTTTATATGTGGCAGAAACCAAATCTCAGTCCCTTGAATGCTGTTCTTAACCTCAGATGTAAGAATTACCAAGAAACTACATCCTTAAAGATTTTCATTTAGGTCTTTGGAAATACAATGTAGGCATGGAGCTGAAGAGATGACTCAGTAGTTAAGAGTTCATACTGCTCTTCCTGAGGACCTTAGTTCTGTTCCCAGCACCTACAACAGTCAATTTACAATCTCCTGACTCCTATTTCCAGGAGATGACTCCACAAGCACCTACCTGGCACGCATGCATGCACACACACACAAGCGCGTGCACACATGTACAATTAAAATTTTTTTTTGAGACAGGGCTTCTCTGTGTAACATCCCTGTCTGTCCTGGATCTCACTCTGTAGACCAAGCTGACCTTGAACTCAGAGATCGACTTGCCTCTGCCTCCCAAGTGCTGGGATTAAAGGAGTGTGCCACCACTAGCTGGAATAATTAAAACTTTTTAAAAAGGCATAAATGTAGGCATAAAGGTTTTCTACAACCTCCTTAGGTCACTTTTCTTCTACTCTCAGTTCTGAGAACAGTGGGGCTAAAAGCATCCAAGAGAACAGCTGGGTTCCTCCAAGTCCAGTGTGTGGGGTTCAGCAGAAGTGGAAACACTGAGTACCTACTAACACGATCAGGTGACAGTGGCATCAGTCCCCCTTGTGGGATACCCTGGTTACCAGCCTCTATTACCTACTCAAAGGGAACATTCCAGTGGATCATTAAGATACCCACTGTTTCCTCCAGAGTCCTGTATGAGAGATGTGTGTGGAGGTATGTGGGTATTGTAAGTTCAGACACAGCAGAGTCAGTCTTGTATAGATATAGCTCATGGCTCACATAAGCCCGGCTAAAGTATATTTGGGAAGAGCACCCCACCCACCCAGCAGATGTCCGCCATAAGGTCTGTGATGCTCATTCTCTACCCATCCAGGATGGATCCACTGGGTGTACCTGCCTGCTAACCACAGCCAGCTCTGGAGGGCTTACCACTATGTCACTCAGAGGCTGGTGAAGTTGCAGATCCCTTTTGTAATGGCCACTCCAGCCTCTGTGTCTAGATAAACTTGCAAGCTGTAAGTTCTAGAAGTAGCAGGTGCTGGGTGGACCTATCAGCTCCTCTTGTGCTCAGCTCTGCCGCCTCCCCTTCCCCTAGTACCTGAGTCCATGCACATTTGATCAAGAACAGATCCTTTATCAGTGCTTCCTAGACAAAAAGCTGGTGTTATCTAAGGGCGGATCCTACATGTGTAAGGAACCTGGCTGGTTCTGCCTCCTCTTTGCAGTAAACCGACATCAGCTAAAAGTGGGTGAGTGAGTGCTGCCAACTTCCCAGTCCTGACATCCAGTAATGGGGCCATCAACTTCTTAATTCATTTATTCTGTGTCCAATACCTCCAGCTACCATTTTCTATTCTTAATTATGCCCCTTTGTAAACAGGAACCAGTCCATTACTCAAGTAGCCATCTCTCCATGAATTCCACCTTTTGAGTAGCCTATGCTTTGTGCCTGCCATGTCTTTGAGTGTGTCCTTCGAAACAGAAGCTTCTAAGAAGCAGTTCTCTGCCCATGTGGGGCTAAAGTCCAGCAGATTAGATACACAGACAATCGTGGCAGCGCTTGCATGTTATGTTGGGGTCCACACATTCCTCTGGCAGCATGACGACACGATGTTTGTTTGAATAATTATTTATAGCATTTCATTAATTGCCAGACACTCTTCTCCCTGCTGAGCCCATAGCAGCGAGCCACTTAGCCTCGTAAAGTTTATCATACAGCAATATCTTTTAGTCTAGTGTAGAAAATACACGGTGGGAAGGCAGGCATGGTCATTCACACTTGCAATCCTGATACGACAAGGAGGTCTGAGAGGTCAGGGCTAGCCTGGGCCCCATAGAGAGACCCTGTATCATAAGTAAATAATCGAGCTCGGTGAAGGTTAAGAGGCCACAGCACAGACTTTGACAAAGACCTTGTTGTTTCTGGCACGGCAATGATTTGACTAGCAGGTTAAAAAAGAGCCTGAAGAGATAATGGAACAGGTTGCCTTCAAGTTCTATCCCAAAGAAGGGAGAACTAATCTTAACACCGTAAACCAGGGGCTCTGATGGCCATCCACAACCCAGGTCTGTCGGGACTCCACCTGTACACCACTGACTCATTCCCTCTCTGTGTCCCCTCTGGATCTTCTAGCCATGGATCAGTTCTGCATGGTGCTCAAGGAATACAAAAGAGACACGAGACGGAAAGAGCTGGAGCAGGCAATCAGGACATAGGCTGTTGACTTCCAGACAGTGACTCCAGCTAGCTTGCAGTCACGTGCTCAGGGGCCCCTGATATTAGCCTCTTGCCCAGAAGGCATGGAGGGGTAATTGGTGCTGCTAATCAAGCCCCCTAAGCTGGATTCTGTCATTTTTAGAAGCCTTGTTTCTTTTTGTCTTTGCTAGCTACTATGTACACAAAACTGATGTTTTTATTGTGATGGGAGTGGGAGGACCTAAGCAGATTTGGAGGGGTAAAGGGAATTCCCTGGATTCCTTTTTAGATGGCTTTATTTTATATTCAACATTTAATAAATGTCATTCTCTGTCCTCTCCAGTTCTTTATTTCTGGTTCACATTCCTTTTTTGGAGATGATTTCTTTTTTTGTTCTAAGTTCTTTGGAAACCTTGAATATGAATAATACTGTCTGGAGAGATCTGGGGTGGTGGCTGAACCTAAGTTCAAATCCCCAGCATCCCATGTAAAAACCTAGCCATGGCTTTGAGTACCCATATCCTTAACACTGGGTGGCAAGGTACAGACAGGTGGACCATAATATCTTACTAGAAATCTAGTCTAGCTGAAATGGTAAGAAATTCCATCTCAACAATACAAGACGGTTGAAAGCCTTCGAGGAAGATTCGAGGTCCTGCTCTGACTTCCACATGTGCACACGTGAAACACACACACACACACACACACACACACACACACACACACACCTATAGTCCTGTCTGGGGCAGGCCTGTAAAGAAGGGAAGGAGTGATTCATAGCTGGATACTGAAGGGGGCACTAAGTACTGACTGTGTCATCTTTATAAGATCACATCCTTCATCCATGTGAGTGACTGAACGACTGGATGGGTGAATTGTGGGTGTTCTTGCATCCAAATGTCAGAGATCTTTCCAAAAGGCTTTAGGATGAGTCTTGGAATCTTAGTTTGTTCTCCAGAAACGTGAGTATTTATAAAGAATGAAAATGTTTCTCACGGTTCTAGAAGCTGCAAAATTCAAGATGAAGATGCTGACACGTGTCTGGTGGGCCTACCTTATTTCTCTCTGTGACATCCCATGACTGGAGGGCGGGGACTCCTTCTGTTTTCATGACCTGATCATCTCCCAAGGGTCCCACCTGCTATTGGCATCATGTTAGGGGGTGAGGATTTCACACATGAATTGCAGGGTTTGGGATCAGGAACCCCAGTTTGTAGAACTGACACTTTCCACTGTTCAAATGGTATCCATCTGGGTTTCTGTGACCCCCTTGCCTGCCAGGAGCTGTGAAATGCATAAAACAGGAGTCAAAAACCTTTCGTGGAGGATGGAAAAACTTCTAGTATGTGTTGATAGTTTTGACCCCCACTCTTCCCTGGAACAGGCTTGTCCCACTTAGTTTTCTCTTTCTATATAACCCAGACTGACCCTGAACTCATGATCTCGCCTCAGCTTCTCTGGTGCAGGATTACAGACATGTCAGCAGGGCAGGTAGGTCCTCCTCTTCCCTTTCTTCCTCTTCCTTACCCTCCTCTTCCTCCTCCTCCCCCCCCATCAGCAAAGGGTTCATTTTGGCTCACAGCTTGAGGTTTCCATGCACCATGGTGGGGAAGGCAAGGGTGTGACACTGTTGTGGCTCTAGGTGTAGCAGCAGGAGCACCTTCTCCTTTCTTCAGCCTGGGACCCCGGACTGTGGGACGGTGCCTCACACATTAATGCCCACTCTTCCTGTTAATCCTCTCTGGAAACACTCCCATAGACACACCCAGAGTTGGGTATCCTAGGTGGTTCTAAATCCAGTCAAGTTGCTTTTTGAAATTATCACAGGGAGCAGTTCAAATAAGTCCTGATTCTTCAAGGTTATACTGGTGTATGCCTGTAATCCTAGTACTCTAGAGGCTGAGGCATTTGTGGGTTCGAGGCCAGCCTAGGCTATATAGTGAGATCCTAGGCAGAGCAAGAATTTGTTGGAAAAGCCCAGGAGACCGGAAACACCCCCAGGATCTTTAAAGAGGAAGACAGCAGTCTTGCTGGTACTGGATGGAAGGAATTATGCCTTTGTGGAAGGCATCATTCCATTTCTGGGTCCAGTCAACTTGACACTCAGATGGCGGCACTGGTGAGGTATCTCGGTGAGTAAAGGCTCCCGCTGCCCGAGTTTGATCCCCAAGCCTCACATTGTGGAAGGGGAGAACGGACTTCTATAAGCTATCCTCGAACTTCCATATGCAGATAGTGACACATGCACAAAATAATTGAAGTAAAAACATTGAAGTTCTGGACATTTTGCTTTCTTGGTAACATTTGGTGTTTGTGTTTTCATTGTTACAGCGAAATACCTGAGAGAAGCGATTTCAGAGCAGAAAGGCCAGGCCTGGTGGCATATAGTGGCACATGCCTGCAATCCCCCTGGGCAGAGGCAGAATGTGCACTACAAGTTTGAGGCCAGCCTAGATTATCTCAGAAATTCCAGGTCAGCCAAGATTGCACATGGTGACACAGCAAGACACTGTCTCAAAGGACTCGGGGTGGTGCTGATTTTGGCTCAGGGCTTCGATGGTTAATCTCGATTGACTAGATCTGGAGTCAACTACGAGGCAAGTGAGATTTTCCTGATTGGGCTAATGGAACTGGGAAGATCCACTGCCAGGGTCCAGCCTCTGCTCAGGTTCAGGTCCTGAGGCGGGGAAAGGGCGTCGGCACAAAGAAAACTTGTGACCACGGTGCAGACTGCACTCAAGTGGCCCTGACTAGCTCAAGCTGTCTTTATTTATACTCATTTATTCTTACCAGGGTTACTTGAACAGCTTTACTATTGGCTCCTGTTTTTGACTTTAAGAAATACATCACAATTTAAAGAATATCATGATCATTATGAACCCCCCCCTGCTCCCCTTTATGCTTCCCTAATACGTCCTCCCACCCGCTGCATAACCTTATTTTAGACATAGAGCTCAGACACATCCTGCTGTCACAGCGCTTACGTCAGCTTTTGATTACAAAGTTAAAAAATAATAGACATGGGCACAATGCTCTAAGGACAGGAATATTCAAACCCAGACAATTCTGTCTGCAAGATGTGTTTTTAAACAGTTCCCCTTTCCACAAGAGGGTCCCATGTCTCAGTGTCTCTGTAAAAGGCAGACTTTGATAAGGCACTCCTCCCGTCCCACCGTACAGAACTCCTTTCACCAACATAAGCTCCGAGGCATGGTAAAGATGGATCTACCCATCTCACATTTGCATTGCATGTTTTCCTCTTGGAGCATACCAGATCCTAAAAATGATTCTATGGTGTCCAGGGAACTTACTCTCAACAATTGGCACTATGTATTCCTGAGGCTTTTGCCCTATTCAGGGTATGCATGCCTTCCTCCCCTTTCCAGAATTGTGAGACATGGCTAATGTTCCAAGGATTGTTTTTTCATATGTACCTAATTGTGTCTTTTTGGTCAGAAAAGTTCCCAGGAACTTTTAATATCTCATAACTTAAACATGGTAACCACTGATATTATCTTAATTGTTGTTACATTATATGATAAAGAAATTGAGGAACAAAAACTAGTACATGTATGAATCCATTCTTAACAAAATATGACAGGAACATTCATGTCAATCACAATCCTCACTGCAGGGGTGGTATTTATAATTACCTTCCTCTACTGCCCTTTCTGTATTTCCTCCACCCTCACAGAGCACCTCAGCAGGTCTCAGTTCTTTTCGTGGAGGAGGGAACCACACCTTCATTCCTGATGGGTGTGTGTCCTCTGTCATCCTGCCTGGATTAGGCTACTGTAGTTTCCCATTGATAATCAGGACATGGTAGCATCACAAGACACCCTAAAGGACTGTTTTAGAGTTTCCATTGCTATGAAGAGACACCATGATCATGGCAACTATCATGAAAGAAAACATTTAATTGGGCTGGCTTACAGTTTCAGAGGTTTAGTCCATTATCTTCATGGTGGTGTGCATGGTGCTGGAGAAGGAGCTGAGAGTTCCACATCTTGATTCACAGGCAGCAGAAGCAACTGTGTGCCTCAGTGAGTGCAGTTTGAGTGTAGGAGATCTCAAAGCCTGCCCCACACGGTAACATGCTTCCTCCAATGAGGTCACACATACTCCAACAAAGCCATACCTCCTAATAGTGCCACTCACTTCCTATGGGGTCCATTTTCTTTCAAACCAGTACAAGGATCTCCTGCACTCCATATATAATCTTTCTTATTGCGGAGAAGCAATCCAATTCTCCATGGTAATCTGGATCAGTCACCCAGCCTATTATTTCTTTCTTAGCCTGTTGGCTTATGGACATCAGAAGCTCAAAGTGGCCAGGAGGAAGTCTGAGATTCCAGTCACCCGTTTGTTGTGTCTCCAGGCAGGAGTGTTCTGAAACTAAAACCTCCAGGCCAACAGAATTCAGGGTTTTGGAAACAGGGAGCAACAATCTTTCTAGTGGAAATTATTCACTAGGGATGATAGTGAGTGGAACCATTTCCCTTCCCACTCCTTGATTCCTGTGAATCCTGGGATTGGAGAAATCTTAAGTATTGGATGATGATTACTTCTGTCTTAGTTACTGTTCTATTGCTGTGCTGAAACACCATAACCAAGGCAACTTACAAAAGGAAGCATTTAATTGGGGCCCTGCTCACAGTTTCAGAGTGTTAGTCTACTACCTTTATGGCGGGAGTGTGAAGGCAGGTAGGAAGGAGGGAGGGCGGGTGGCCGGGCGGGTGCGGTGCTGGAGCAGTCTTACATCCTGATCCTCAGGCAGCAGGCAGAGAAAGAGACTTGGCCTGGTAGCATGGGCTTTTGAAACCTCGAAGGTCACCTTCTGTGTCACACTTCCTAATCCTTAAACATAGTCTACCAACTTAGGGAACAGACATTCAAATATATGAGACTATGGAGGTTATAGTCATTCAAACCACACACATTCAGTGACAGACTGAAGCTACTGAGGTGTCCTGTCTTGTCACAGGAGTATTCACTGGTTCTCTGTGTCCCCTGTGTGAATGTAGCTGTTGTTGGATTACGTAGGCTCGACTGTGTTCCTGATCTAATTTAAGAAGCTTATAGATGGCCGTATTATATTTATATAAATACATTATTTATCTGTCTAAGCCTCACGGTGTGTGCTAGACATGGTGTGTACTAGAGGGTTAGGTATTTATACTCAGCAGACCTCTGGGAGGCCCACAGTGAAAACTAGTCATTTTTGACTGGGTATTGAACTTTTTCCCTCTAAAAGTCTATTTTGTATAAACTGGAATTCAAAGAGCCCCCTCCCCCTTTGAGGGCTTTTCATTCCCTTGTGTCCCCACCATGAGGGTCATGTGAATGTACATGTCGATAACTTACTATTTTTCTTTTGTAAATCTTTTTTTCCTCCAACTAAGAATTTTCGGGGCTTGAGGGAAGCCTGTGCAAATAAATGGATAGCAGGGTGATCACTTACACAGGTGACACTTAGGAGGAACGGTGTTTTAAGAGGATGTCTACCTTAACTGGGAAGAAACGTCCATGATCACCTGGCTCTGACCAAGGATTTCCAGAATGGTAGAGATCTGAGCTCAGGCCAATGAGAGAAGAGATGGAGAGGGCATGGTCTTTCTTGCCTTGGTCAAAATCTCCACCCCTCTGTCCCAATGCCTTCTCCTATTCAGGCTCCTGTTTCTAGAGGGCGCCTATGTGTTGACGTCCAGAACTTCCAAGCCTGCACTCTGGAGGGGGGTGGGGCGCAGGCTCCTTCCTCTACGTCCTCTTCTGGTCGCCAGGGGGCACGCTGCCCCAGCGTCCCGGAAGTCGGGCCCAGAGGATATCGCGCGCGAAACCCCAAGCCCAAAGTAGGTGCGATCCCTTCTCTTTGTTCATCAAAGGCTGGCCTGTGCTGTTGACTGCTACCGGCTCTTGGGTCTGGAAGTCCTGATTGCAGTCACACAAGCTCCGAGGGCCAGGAAAACGCCGGCGGGCCCTGCAGACCACACTCCGCCTTAGTTTCGTATACTAGGCTAGCTAGATCGTTAGGCGGGATTGAGCCACGCTCCTGTGGCGCTCTGCCTTGTGTTCCCGCTGGGTTCTGGCTGCACCCACCAAAACCCGGGCACTCAGCAGTGTCCTTCCTCTGACCTGGGCTGTCGTGGAGCAGAGTGTGTGCTCCTCCGAAGTCCCACCACCTTGAGGAGTCCCCCCTCCAACCGCGCCCCCCCGCCCCCCCCCGAATTAACAAAGCAAAATTGAAAGCTGCAGAGCAGTTTCTGGGTCCCCATCTACCATCCGCCATCCTTTCTACCAAGTATAGCTTGTACCTTAAGACAGGGAAATCAGAGAGCATTTGTGATAGAGTGACTCATGTTTCAGACATTTGGCCACCAGCCAGGATTTGGTATGAGTTCTTTATCGCCCTCAGATCCTCACTGTTGCTCTTTGGGGTGGGTATTGGTCCACCGGAGCACAAGTGAGGCACGAATGAGAGATGCTTAGGAATCTCTTGTGTTGTTGGCAGCTCGGAGACCCTCCTCTGGGGCCCTTGCTTCCTTTGTGAGTGGAGTTGGGAGTGCATTTGTGACCCCTGCTATGCCCTCCTGTTAGCTCCCACCACCACCAGCTCCAGATCACCTGTCACACAAGAGGCCCAGCAGCAGCACGGCAGTGATCTGCTTGGGAACAAGCCTGGTGCTTTGAAACTGAGGTGAGCAAGGGTGGGGAAAGGCCGTTGGTGACCCCCCTAAGCCAGGTGGATGCAGAAATGGAGCAAGCTAAAGCTACAGTAGATTGAAGTTATTTATGTGCAGCAAGCATAGTGTGGTACCCATAGGTCCTCAGTAGATTTGTTGAGGTATTTAACTCAATAGGGACAAGGGGAATGAGCACACACACTTGCAAAAAGAGGGAGATATCTGTGTGGAGGTCACCGTGGTCCCAGCTACTCGGGGGAGGCTGAGAAAGGAGCATCACTTGAGATCAAGAGTTCAGTGCAACCTCAGAGGGAGGGAGGCGGGGTGAGACTGGACATCCAGCCTGGGTGTAAAGTGTCCACTCATTAAAATGCTTTTCTTGCCTTGAAGTCATGAGGACCTGAATTTTACTCCCAGAACTCACATAAAAATAGCCGGATGTGCACCCTCATAATTCCAGAGCTCCGGGGAGGTGGAGACATGCAGGTTTCTGGGCCTTACTGGCTAGCCAGTCTAACCCAATATGCAAATACCAGGACTTAGGGAGAGACCCTACCTCAAAAAATATGGTGGGCAGTTGCCAGAACAACACCAGAGGTTGTTCTTGGGCCTACAGACAGACAGACAGACAGACAGACAGACAGACAGACAGACAGACACACACACACACACACACGTGCTAGCAGGATGAGCAGAAAGAAGCCCTTCAGCAGGCCTGTGCATTGTGTTTTGGCAGATGTTCCCTCTTCCTCAGAGGGAACCCACGGCACCTACTGCACCTTCAGGCTCAACCTCTTCTCAGGACATGGACAGTGGCTATGGTGATGCTCTGCATGGAGAATGCCTCAGAAAGCCAGACTGGAAGCAGCCCAAACTCTATGGAGTGGGTGACCCCATGGCCATGTTCTCCTCTGATAGCTCCTGCCTGTCCTCTAGAGGAAGAGTCATCAAATGGTTCTGGGACTCAGCTGAGGAGGGCTACAGAACCTACCACATGGATGAGTATGATGAGGAAAAGAACCCCAGTGTGAGTGAAGACCCCTCCGCACAGGGTCCCAAGGCAGCCAGCTTGCTATTGTCAGGTTGGAGTTATGATCCTCTGGCTCCAAGAGGGCTGGTAATGTAGGCTCTGTAGGTAATGCATTTCTGAGATGTGCTGGTAATGTCTGCTCTGTAGACAGATCATCTCTGAGATGGACTGATAATGTCTACTCTGCAGAAATGAGTTCAGGATTGTGAAATTAGTGTTTGTCACATAGGACACTTGATAAAAACAGCTGTTATTGTTATTAGTATCATCTGCCATGATGACCATAATCTATTATATATAATAATTTGGCAAAGAACTGCACAATACCCTTTATTAATAGTTTTGATCTGCTGAGCACCCACCAGGTATCACCGACTATTCTAGAGGTACTGGTGTCATACCAGTGAGCAAAACTCAAGTCTTGCCCTATGTATTTATATTTTAGTTGAGATGGACAGATCAAAAATGCATGTAACATTTACTGTTAGCACTGCAGAGAAAATGAAGACAGGGTGAGGTGGACTGAGGATGATGGTCTGCTAGGAAATGTCACTGTTTGACATAGGATGTCATAGAAGGCTATTTTAATCACGTGACATTAGACTAGAGGCTTGAAAAAAACAAGCGAGAGAGATTGTATTAATTATCCATTGCTGTAACAAATCACCCCAAATCTCAGTAGCTTACCTCACATTTCCCAGTTGCTGGAGCTCATGACTCATGGTGGGCATCTTCAGACCAGGGGTTTCTGTCACAGTACCCTGAAGCTGGTGTTGTGATCTCATCTGAAAGCTTGCCTGGGTGATGGGACTTGGACAGGCGAGAGGCTCCATCTCCTGGTGGGCACCTGTTCCTCTCCACATGGACTTTTTCCCAGAACTGCCTCAGATATGGCAACTGGCTGCTTTCAGAACAGATGACTCAAGACAGAATGAGAGATCATGAGAACCTAAGATGGAGACTACACAGTTTTATGACCCAGCCTTAGAGGTGACATCCTGTCATTTTTGCATGTTCTTTTCATCAGGAGCAGTTGTTAGGCTCAGTCTCTACCCAGGGTGCCATGGTAGAGGCTCCCAGGAGCCTTGCAGCCGAGAGAATAGCTAGTACAAAGGCCCCAGGCTGGCACCATGCTGGATCAGGTCAAGGGTCAGCAAAGGAACCAGTGGGCTGTGGTAAAGCCAGACTGGTAGGTGATGGGGTCAGAAAGGTATGGGTATTGTGGGGCCTCATGGGACGTAGTGACAGTTCTTTCTGGAGACAGGGGTGGCAGGAACTGTTCAGGAGAGAAGCAGTGTGCGTGATGCAATTTCAGTTTTCTTAAAGACATCTTGGACTTCGTGTGAAGACCCGATGGCAGGCGAGGGAGTGGAGAAGAGAGGAGATAGGGAGCGATGGCAGTGCTCTGGACAGGAGCCATGGTGGCTTACACTAGGGTCTCAGCAGTGGGGCATGATGAGTGGCTGGCTGAGTGTCTGGAGGAAACAGCATTGCCTTTTACTTGTCTAACTCAGCTCATTCAAGTTTAATTGTTTTGTCTTTCCTGCTTCCTTCACTCCCCACATAAGGCAGGGCTCAGAGTGCGTGCCTCCTATTAGGATTAACAGGTGACAATTGGACATTGTGTCCTGTTAGCTGGGCCTCCTAGGGAATAATTTACACTGACATGGGGAGTTCCACTGAATACCCCACCCATGATTTTGGTCCTAGAAGAGTGTGATTTGTAGTATGCAGGTTTTTTCATTCTATAAATGTTTCTGGAGACTCACAGTGGTGTCTGGGACATGAACTTGCCTTCAGGGAGCTAGCTATCATCAGAGAGCTCTGTCCTGATCCCTATGCCATGGGGCAGAAATTGAGTGGTTTGCTAAGGGCAGGGGAGTGGTGGAAAGAGACCTTGGACTCCAAGACTCAAGGAGTGCTTCCTGGTGGGGCTTGTGGGAAGGCTTCTTTCGGGAGGTGGTATTTAGACAGTGTTGGAAATGGGAGATGGGGTTTTGGAGCTCAGAGAGGGTGGTGGGAGGGTGGGTTGGTGCCACTTTGCTCTCTGTGGGTCCCCAGGCTCCTTGTTGGGGACATCTGCCAAAACACAAATGCATAGGCTATGCCTCTCCACTGTGTCTGCAGGGCATCATTAACTTGGGCACCAGTGAGAACAAACTCTGCTTTGACCTTCTGTCCAGGCGGGTGAGTAGTGGGGCTGAAACCACCAGGGGCTTCTTGAATCCTTTGCCTCAGTAGCTTGCTGCATGCCTTAGGGGCCCTGACATAAGAGCTGGAAGACCTGGGTTCCAGGCTTGCCTTGGGAACAACCCTACCTCCCCTCCCCTCCCCTCTCTCCTACCCTCCCATCTCCTTTTCCTCTTCTCCCCTTTTCCCTCCTCTCCCCTTTCTCTCTCCTCCCCTCCCTTCCCTCCCCTTCCCTACCCTGTCTGCCAACAGAACTATATCCATCTCTAGTCTTTAATTCTTTTTTCTTCACTGGAGAAGCTAAACCTCTACCGTCTTACCTTTTTATTCTAAGTCAAGGTCTAAGTTGCTCAGGCTGATCTTGAACTTATTCTGCCAGGCAGGCCTTGGATTTACAATCATCCTACCTTAGTGTAAGGTTTAGCTGGGATTACAGGCCTATACCACCAGGCCTGGCTTGTATGGCTATTTCTAATCCAGCTTGTAAAATTCCTTAAAATTTCATCAGATTTTTTAAAATGTATTTTATGTGTATGGGTGTTTTGCTTGCATTTATGTGTGTGCACCATGTACATGCCTGGTGCCTGCTGAGGCCAGAAAAGGGAGTCTGATACCCTGGCACTGTAGTTACAGATGGTTGTGAGCTGCCATGTAGGTGCTGGGAATTGAACCCAGTACCCAAGAAGCTGAGGCAGGAGGAGTGCTGTGAGTCCGGGGGCCATCTTGGGCTTCATTGTGAATGCCAAGAGAAACAGGGCTGTAGCATGTATGGCAAGAGCATGTTTCAATTTTCCAAAAGTAAAAATAACTGGTTTCAGTAATATCTTACTTACCTAATATGTCTAAAATATGGCCATTTCAGCTGGTAATAAATATATAATTATTGGTATCTATTAATACTTATTTTTACAAAGTCTTTACAGTTCAGACTAGCCGCCTAGTAAGTGCTAAGTAGCCGCAAATACCAGTGGCTTTGATGTTGAACCTGCTCTAAGGGGCGACAGGAGGGAGAGAAATGGCTGGACCCAGGCGTAGACAAGTAGATGATTCCAATTTTTCTGGTAATGGCTCTCTTTGACCTTATAGCCATGATGCTCTAGTGTCACTAGTCAAGGACCTGCCCTATCCAAGGGGTGGTCTCAAGTTTCTGCCTTATACAAAGGGTGAGGTTGAGTAGAACCTGCAGGAGACAGTGTCCTGAGTTCTCTCTCTAAAATTGGAGCCAAGGCCAAGTTTACATCACCCAGCTCTGGAGCCTCCTCTGGCCTCTGGGAAAATGGAGCAGCGTGCCCCCCCCTTCCCGTGCTTCTGCCCCTGCCCCTCTGATTTTGTTGTATGGAGAGCTAGTGTCAGAAATTCTAGACATAGTTTTAGCCCTGACACTTGCTAGCTTGGTGGCCTTGCCTTCACTTTGTGAGCCGTGGTTTGCTTGTCTGTGAAATGGGCCCAGGAGTACTGTCTTGTACTCCTGTCACTTTCCCCAAGAAGCCCAAGAAACTGAAGGTTCTAGAGGCCCTTAGGCTGTGCAGATGTGGGTGACAGTGGTGGCCCTCAGCCTCGCTCTGCTTCCTTTGTGTCCCCAGCTGACAAAGAGTGACATGCTTCACATGGAACCATCTCTGCTGCAGTACCCTGACTGGAGGGGACATCTGTTGTAAGTAGTTGCCACAGGCTGGTGGGTCTCAGTATGAGGCTGTGTTGACCCCGGGAAGGTACAGGAATGCCTGGACACATTTCTGGTTGGTGTAATTGGGAGAAAGGGCTGCTGGCCAGGGATGTACTGTTAAACCTACAAAGCACAGGGAGTTTCTTAACAGAGAATTTTCCATCCACGATAAAGGTAGAGGCAGTGAGGGACCTGGTCTAGGCTGAGCATAGTTGTAGAGTTTGGTGACCAAGGGCTGTCCTTCCAGATCCAGATACATCCCCGGATTTCCCAGCTTGGTTCCCATGACCCTAAGTCTGAGATGAGTGAGGAGACTCCTTGATTTTTTAGTAGCTTTAGAGACGACAGATGATGTCTAGGGGACTGGCTGGGACTCACTCTCAAAGGTAAGGTGGGTCAGGGGATGATAGACTGCTGTATACTGATTATTTGCTAGGGGTCAGGCACCGTCCTCAGGAACCTGACCCAAGATGCACTCCAAAGCTCGTATTCTTAGAAAAGAGTCATCAGGATGGTGAGCCCTGGGGCAGGCTGCTGGGCTTGCCCATGAACTCTGCCTCTTACCAGCAAGTGATTTAATCCCCTCAAACCTCAGTTTCTTTGTAAAATGAGAATAGCAGCCACCGTGGAACATTCCCCAAGTAACATTTGTGTAATGTTGAAGCTCAAGAAGAGCCACGGTAACAGTTCCTGTTATGATAATGCTTACTATCAGCTGTCGTCAGCTAGATCTAATATAGTGTTAGCTTTCATCTGTCTCCTGATTGAGGGGGGTGGGGCTGGGTGTCCTAGAACTACACAGAGTGAATGCTTTGTGGTCTGATGGGGGAGGGTGTGCTGGAGTAGAGACACATGCCTGCCACATTCACCTGGGACGGGAGGGTGGAGCAGTGGCAGCTAGCCCCCTGTGGGTTCCCAGAGGGGCTCTGGACTAGACTGGTCTGAGAACCCTCTTGACAAGTGTTGCCCGTTGTTGGTCTGTCCTTCTAGTCTCCGGGAAGAAGTAGCCAGGTTCCTGTCTTTCTATTGTAAGAGCCCAGTACCCCTCAAGCCAGAGAACGTGAGTTACCCCTTCCTTAGGGGTGGAGGGCTGGGGGGCACTTGGGATCTGCCTTTCACTTAGGTTTGCATCCTAAGACCAATGTGCTGTGGCCTTCTTGGCCTCCTCACCTTTGAGAGAGACCCCTAGAGTAACCGTTCTGTCTCTTGTTCACTTGATCAAGAGTAGGGTCCCCAGAAATAATCTTGACTAGGAACCAAGAGAGACCCTCGTCAGGATGGATCCCTAGGGCAGTGGGGAGAGGCTTGGCCCTTCCCCTGGTGCTTGCTCTCCTCTGTCCCTGACAGGGTCATCTTGTCTCTTGTCACCCCCAGGTGGTTGTTCTGAATGGCTGTGCCTCTCTCTTTTCCGCTCTGGCCACAGTGCTGTGTGAGGCAGGAGGTAAGCGAACTCCGTGCCCCTCCCCCTCCCCCAGCTTTGTACCAAGGCTGCACAGTGATCCCAGTCTCCTGGAGTCAGAGCTGCGTCAGGGTGCCTCCAGCTATAGGAGAATATAGGAGATTGCAGGAACCTTAAGTGAGTGGCGTGGACAGACATCTGGGACTGCAGTTCTCAGGGAGACTCATGTGGGGTCAGGGCCCTGCTTTCTCTCTCTGAGTTCCTCAGCTTCCCTTACTATCAGCGATCGTCCGTGTAGCGTCTGAGTTCCGCTGACACTACATCTTACAGCAAGAAGAGAAAGACAATGCCGACAAGCCAGTGCCTCTCCTGTCAGGCAGGGCATCGAGGGTCCCAGTGAGACCCTTTCACCCAATAGAAATTACTTGTGAACCTAAAGGAGTCCCTGGCAAAGGTGCCTAAGGGAGCCAGTGTCAGCGTAAACCAAGCTGTCTCACACCATGGCTGGGGAAGGCCTGACTTGGACATGTTGCTGGTTCTCTTTCAAACAAACAAGCAAACAACAAACAAACAAAACAACCAAGCAAACCAAACTAAACAAAAACCATACTCTTCTCTTAGCAAGGAAGGGAATTGAATAACTACTGAATAGACAGGCGGCCTGCTCTAAGAGACAGTGTGTTAAGAGCTGGTTGTGGCTAGGGGTCAGTTGTTGTAAGGAACAAGAGGCCTGCTAATGAGAGCCTAACAAATAGGTTAACACTGGTCACATGCAGTCACTGCATACTGCATTCCAGGCTAGGCCATGTGTCTTTACACAACACCTCTGTGATGTGGATTCTTTGACTAGACCCATTTTAGAGGTGAAAAGACTGAGGCCCAAAGGTTAAGTAGCTTTTCAAAGTCACACGAACAGAAACAGTCACCAGGACTTGAACCCTAAAGGACGATTTGCTGTGAGAATATGATAGACAACTTCTTATCCATTCTAGAACAATTAAATACAGGGACTCTATAAGTGCCAGTACCCTGGTCTATAAAGTTTGGCTGACAATAGTGCTTACTTCAGAACGTGGTGGTGAGCCTGTTTAGCACCGCCTAAGAGATAAGTAAGTATTAGCAGAGGCTCCACAGTGGATAGACAGTGACTTTCAGCTTTCAGCCACTGAGCTATCGCTCCACCCCCGGCCCCTCTATTTTAAAGACAGGGCTCATGTAGCCCAGGGTGGCCTTGATTGAACTCACAGTGTAACTGAGGATGACCTTGAACTTCTCATCTCCTGGGTGCTGGACTATGACTTTAGGGGATCCAAGCTTCAAGGTTTTGGGAGTTGAGAGGAGCAGCAGTATGCTGCAGATATTTCCCAGGGATGATGGAGGGAGGCTTGGAAGGACAGTGGGGCTCATGATGGGTGTCTGAGGTATCTAAGCCAGAGGCCAGTGGGCTGCCTACTCCTTCCTCTAGAGGCTCTCTTGATCCCCACCCCTTACTATGGAGCCATTACCCAGCACGTGTATCTCTATGGCAACGTCCGACTGGCCTATGTCTACCTGGACAGCAAGGTAAGAGTGCCTGCTTTCCAGTTCTTGCGTTGGGTATTCTTGTAGGCAACGGCTTACTGGGTCTGAATTTGTGGGTGGACCTGAAGGAAGCCTGCGCTAAGGGCTTTGGGGCTGCTGGAAGTGGAACCTTCTGTGGTCACATGGATGGCTCTGCCTGGCTACTCTGGAAGCTCCAGGCTCCAAGATTCCTGGATCCATAGAGAAGCCAAGAACTTGCCCCAGAAATGAGAGGGTGGGAAGGGAGAAGCTCAGGCCTTGGAAGTCCTGAGAGCCAATCAGAGAAGCCATGCTGCCTCTGCCAGAAATCTGAGTGATAAGGGATGTCCCTGATGTAAAGGGTGGTGCTGAAGGCAGGAAGGGAAAGTGGCCTCTCCCATTTTCCAGATTCTGTGCCCAGGAGACTGGAGATGCTTGGGGAGGAGAGACCCAAGAGTTCAAGTTTTGGGTAGGGGTAGGGAACTGAATTTGGTTCCTGCCTTTGGTGGGTCGTTCCCCAGGTAACTGGACTGAACACACGTCCCTTCCAGCTCACAGTGGAGAAACTGGAGATGGCCCTGCGAGGAGTTAATTCTGAGGTTTGGAGAGTCAGTCAGATCCAGGGCTGGGAGTGGGTGGGTCCCAGCAGGGGCTGGACCATTCATCTCTTGGGAGTTGGGTTTGTAAGTTGATAAGGGCATATGGGAGAGGTTATAGAACCATCTTTGTGGAGGGGGGCAGTCAGGCAGAATCCTGTGTCTATGGAGGGTCTTCCCATTAGAAAATGACCCTGAAACCAAAGTGTGCAGGGAACCAGGGAGCTTCTCAAGAAAGGGCAATAAAGATGGCTGGATATGATCAAAGTACAAACACACACACACCTGTGTGTGTGTATATATATATATGTATATTATATGCATACATGTATATATATATATGTGTGTGTATATATATATGCATGAAAATGTCAAGAGCGAAGCCCATTATTGCTGCCAATGAGTGTATGTGTCTTAGTTACTGTTCTAATGCTGTGAAGAGACACCATGACCACAGTAACTCATAAATGAAAGCATTTAACTGGGGGTTTGCTTACAGTTTTAGGGAGTTAGTCCCTGATCATCATGGTGGGAAGCAGACAGGCAGGGCACTGTAGCAGCAGCTGAGAGCTTTAAATCCTGATCTGTAGGTAGTAGGCAGAGAGACACTGGGTTTTTGAAACTTCAAAACCTACCCCAAGTGATACACCTCCTCCAACAAGGCCACACCTCCCTCATCCTTCCCAAACAGTTCCATTAAAGACCAAGCATTCAAACATATGAGCCTATGGGGGCCATACTAATTCAACCACCACGTATGCTAATTAAAAAGAACATTGCTTCCCTCCATCCCAATCCCTTTGTTTCTGCTTCAGGGTCAAATGTGGATCATAGGACTCTATAGCTTAGTAAGTCTCTCTGGCAATTTGAGGGGTGATCCTGCTCCTTTTGAGGGACTCACTAATAAAGGCAGAGGCCCAAGTTCTTGTGCTTGCCTTCCACCCATTTCCAGCATCTGAGGCATTTGCCTTTGCCATTCAAGCTGTCAAGTGCTCACTGAGGAACTGTGAAAGTCCCGAACCCCCAGTTCTTCCAACACAAGCAGCCTCTCTGCCAGCAGCTGAGCACATTTTCCCATTTCCTGCCTGCTTCCTTTCCATAGTTGGCACAGCACAGCAGACAGCTCCCATCCTACTCATTTGCTCCTTGTTGGGTCATGCGAGTCCCTGTCATACTTCCCTGATAGCCAGCCAGCTATCAGCCTCACCCAGTGGGTTTGTAAGGCTCCGGGGTCACGGGGACACTGTAACACCCCCATGGATGGTTTCAGGGTGTCAAGGTCAAAGGCCTAATCCTCATCAACCCCCAGAACCCTCTGGGTGACATCTACTCCCCTGAAGAGCTACAGGAGTTCCTGGGATTTGCCATGAGGTGAGCTATGCTTACCCACAAAGTGGGCAGACAAGTGAGTCTTGGACGGGTCCTTATGCCTTCTAAGCCCACTGCTTTACTGTCTCCTTGTCTTCGTAAGACACCAGCTATAACACCCTAGGCCCAGGACCGTGCTGGACACTTTATTATCTGATTGCATGTTTATCTGTGTTCATGTGCATGTGTGAAAGTGGAGGACAGAGCTGCCTTGTAGTAGTTTCTGAGAAAGGGTTTCACTGGTCAAGCATGGTAAGCTGTCTGCCCAGTTACCACCCCCCCACCCCCCTGCACCACGGGATCCAATTGAAGGTTCTGGGCATCAAAGTTGGGTCCTGTTTACAAGGCAGCACTTTACTGCCTGGGCCATCCTCCCAGCTGAGCACTTTGTGTGCTGAGTCTATGGTACTCATCATGCCAGCCCCATGGAAATGGACACTATTATCATCCCTGCTTGACAGAGCCTCAGAGTGGTCCAGACAGGAGTAGGAACAGACATGAATCTGAGTCCATTTGTCTTCAGCCCACCACGGAGGACCCCAAGGGTGCCTCCTCCCCCCCACCACCTCAGTGCTTCGGATGCTCTAGAGTCCTCTGTTTTTATGTGCACAGCTTTAGACCAAAGCAGGGTATTCCCGGGACAAGTCTGGTAGCCCTGGGCTAGCCTGTGGTCCTCTGGGTTTCTGACATCCTGCTATCCAACCCTGGGTGACATGCTTTGGCTCCCTCTTTCCTACCACCCGCCCACTGCAGACATCAGCTGCACGTGATCATGGATGAAGTTTACATGCTGTCCGTGTTTGAAGAGTCTCTTGGGTACCGCAGTGTCCTGAGCCTGGAAAGGTGAGGCTCCCAGTGTAGCTGATTCTACCAGCTCCTGGACTGTCCCACAGCTTCCCAGCTTCTTTCTGGGTCAGCCTCAGGGAAGTTCAGTTAATATCTATTTGATCTCACTGGTCCGCAGGCCAGGAAGGATTTGGTAGATAAGGGGTCTTCAGATTATTCTATGGCATCCCCAAGAACTCCAAGGAGGGGCCTTGGCATTATTTGAAGAAGTGTTGAGTCTATGGGAACCAAACTCTTACTGTTTCCTTCATCCTCAGAGTCGTTCCAGTTTCATCCATCCATCAGTCCTTCTATCTGTCTAACCATCTACCATCCATTCATCTATCCCCTGGCCCACTCCATCCCTCCATTCACCTCACCTATTCATCTATTTATTCACCCATCCATCTTTTTTTTAAAGACTTATTTATTATGTATACATATGACTGCATACCAGAAGAGGGCACCAGATCTCATTACAGATGGTTGTGAGCCACCATGTGGTTGCTGGGAATTGAACTCGAGACCCCTGGAAGAGCTGCCAGTGCTCTTAACCACTGAGCCATCTCTCCAGCCTGCCATCCATCCATCTTATTTCTACCTAGGAAAAGGTCTCAGCAGCTAAATGCACAGCTATTAATTTCCATGATAGTGACAAGCAGCTCTGAAATGGAGGTGGCTGAGGAGCTGTGAGAGGGACTGTTTGGGCCTGATTTCCTGGGGTTGGTTAGAAAAGCCTTTTGAGGAAGTAATGCTAGAGATATTTTCCAGCTCGGAGGTCAGGCCTCGTGGATTCTCACTCAGCTCAACCACAGACATGTGAACCAGTGAGCCTGGCTGTGTTCTGATACAATGATAGTTACTGCAGTAGGCAGCAGGCTGTTTGCCAACAGGAATCAGTGGTTCAGACACGAGACCCAGTTTCATCTATCCATCTATGAATCATTTGCATTTCTGTGATCTCCTGGCTCTGTGTTGCTTGTGTCTCCACGTGCTCCTCTCTGTAGGCTACCTGACCCCCAGAGGACACATGTGATGTGGGCCACCAGCAAGGTGAGTTCCTGGCTAGCCTGGGTGGGAGGGAGAGGAATCAATTCCTTCTATGAGGGTTGGCCATGGCCTATCGTGTGTCTTCTTATAGGACTTCGGGATGTCTGGGCTCCGCTTTGGCATACTGTACACAGAAAACCAGCATGTGGCTACTGCCGTGGCCTCCCTCTGTCGCTATCATGGCCTCAGTGGCCTGGTCCAATACCAGATGGCACAGCTGCTCCGGGACCATGGTGACTGTCTGAGTCTAGGGACTTGAAAGGGGAGCGGGGTTGTAATGTACATGGGATTTGTTGGGGCTCACAGGTGCCTCTCCTATGGAGGAACTCAGGTGACATCTGACAATGTCATCTCTGGGCCCAGACTGTACTCAGTCACTTGTTTGTCACATGTGTAGCACATTTCTTCACCTCCTCATCTGTAGAGTAGGGCTGATTAATGGTGCTAGTCTTGTAGGCTGAGTATGACCTGTCGTTTGGTTAGAACAATACGTGACAAGTAGGCTCTTCGCTAATGTGAGCTCACTGGCCAGATGCAGTGCTATGCATCTGTACTTCTAGCTACTTGGGAGGTTGAAGCAGGAGGATCCTTCCAGGTCTGGTGTTCCAGGCTAGCCTGGGCAACATAGCAAGATTCCACCTTAAAAATGAACTTTTATTAACTGTGAACACAGAGATCAGAACTTATGAGGACATGTTGATATGATGAGAGCTCTCTGCCTCTAGGAATCTGATCTGTTCCTGGCTCCAGCAGTAGTTCAGATGGCAAAACTCTCCTGTAACTGGCTGTTGGTTGAGCCTTTCAGATGCTCTTTTGGCCCATCTCATTTCCCTCCCTATGGTCCTAGGAAGAATTTCTGTACAGTTCCCGTTTGTTTTACAGGTGAGGAAAAGGAGGACCAGATCCTAAACACCCAATCTAATAGCTTAGAAAGTTTTACAAACAGTGGCAAAACTGAATGTTCATAAGGGAGGTGGGACAGCCAGGACACTTGCTCTTACATCACTCAGGGGGACAGAAGATGGTTCAGCCACAGTGAAAAGCAATTCGGCAGCTCCCTCTAAACACACCTATTAAACAGGCCCAAATGTGGAACCCTCATGGCCACACAAAAACCTCTGTATGAATGCTGATGGCTGGTGTTTTCATAGTCACCCACAACAAACAGTACCCCTCCACAGACACACAGGTGTGCTCCATCCACACCATGGAACTCTGATGCAGTAAGATCCATGGCAGTGTGGGTTTCTCCCAAAGACACTGTGCTGTTAAGAGAGGCGAGGGTCAAGAGATTACATGCCCTATGCGGCTAGTTTTGGTGAATTTGGGAATGAGCAAAATTGTCATGATGCATAATGGGGAAGGGGGTGGTATAAATCTAAATAGCATGAGGATAGTCTTTGGGGTCACTCCGAGTCATGATTGGGGTGGTGCTTTCATAAGTGTGTGCACCCCTCACAAGAGGCCAATAAATCTATGAGGACCAGAGAGATGAGTTGCTGAAGTCTGCCTTTTCCCAGCTCACCAGATGCCCCTCTGGGATCAGGACCTTGGTCTATGTGGTTCTAAGTATCACTTTATAACTGCAGACACCTGTGGCTTGATTTCTGTCCTGAGGGACTTTGTACCCTGGGCTCTGACTGTGATCTAGGACCTGGCATTCTCAGAGCTGTGTACCTGGATCAAAGAAACTTTGTACTGAGCCCTGAATGCCCAGCTCCTCTGAACCTGTGACTCTACGCCAGTTAGAAGAAGGACTCCCGTGGGTGGCCACGACTGCCATGCCCTTTTGTCTTTTAGCATTTAGATTAATGCAACGGTCCATGGGAGTTTTATATTCCCACTTCTCTTCCATTTAGACTGGATCAGCCAGGTGTACCTGCCAGAAAACCACGCCCGGCTCAAGGCTGCTCATACCTATGTCTCAGAGGAGCTCAGAGCCTTGGGGATCCCCTTCGTGAGTCGTGGGGCAGGCTTCTTCATCTGGGTTGACCTGAGAAAGGTAAGCAGGGTGGAGGTGTGGGTGCCGGGGAGTGTCAAGTCCCCATCTGGCAGGCGAAGGCACTGGAGGGTTCTCCTGCATTCGGAGCTACTTCTGTCTTCCCAGTACCTTCGCCAAGGCACATTTGAGGAGGAGGTGTTGCTCTGGCGCCGATTTTTGGACAACAAGGTGCTGTTGTCCTTCGGTAAGGCCTTCGAGTGCAAAGAACCTGGCTGGTTCCGGATCGTCTTCTCAGACAAGGAGAACCGGCTCTGCCTGGGTGAGCAGCTTCCTCCTGCAGCTTTGTCAGGGCACCCCTGCTTCTGACCCGGGTAGCTCCAGCGCTGACCATTCCTCACTTCTTCTCAGGGATGCAAAGGGTGCGGCAGGTGCTCGAAGGGCATTCTCAAGTGGTAGAAGATGCCTCTCCTCGTCACACTCAGGATCCAAGTGCCGGCCCGTGTGAGCAGGCCACTGCCTTGCAAGCAGCCGAGGTCCCTATGACCCAGACATATAGGGCCACGGAAGACTGAGTGTGGATGTGCCATTTGTCGGTAGGATTTTGTCACTTGGATTTGGCTTTGAAGAACTGCTTCCTGCCCTCCCTGCTGGCAGTGGGAGGGTGTTTAAACTGATGTTATTTTGGGCTGTTGCTGTCCTCTGTTTGGTGGGATTGGGACCAGCCAGATGCCTGTGTTGTGAACAGTGTACAGGATGTGGAGTCGTGACTGCTCCTAATCACAACCCCTCCCTAGGACACAAGAGTAAACAAGCAACTGTTCATTCACTGTGATGGTGTCTTCCTGTCTCTCTTGTTACCAGGGAAACAGGCCAGAGGAACAGCACACACACACACACACACACACACACACACACACACACACACACACACACACCATTTTAAGTTGCAGGGAATGAATTCTGTTTGTTCAGGCCTCAGGAGCCCAGGACAGGCCTCAGCTTGGGATGCAGTTAGCAGAACTCCATGGTGGGAGTTAGGAGGGGCTCCTCAATGGAGCTGAAACGCCCCCTCAAGTCCTGATCTCACCTCCTCCTGCCTAGGAAGACAGTGCCTTCACTGTTGTTCCCAAAGCTGTGGCCTAGCAATGGCTAGGGAAAGGGAAAGGATTAGAGGCTGGATTTCTGAACCAAGGCTGTCTGTGGACCATGTAGAGATTGGTCTCTCAGTGCTAAGAAAGACTATGAAGGGGCTGGCTGTTCCAGCTTGAGGGGTGCTCAAGTGAAGATCCTAAATGAATGCTTGATTCCTGTGCTGACCTGCACTTATAGTACCCAAAGTCACAGCTGTGAGAGCAGCTGAGGCAGGAGGATCACAGTACCCATAGTCACAGCTGTGAGAGCAGCTGAGGCAGCCTCACAGTACCCATAGTCACAGCTGTGAGAGCAGCTGAGGCAGGAGGATTACTTGCACCTATGAGTTTGAGATCAACTTGGACAGTACAGTATGTCAGTGAAGTCAGCATATCCTAGGCTATCCTCAGACCACCGTCCTGCCTTGCAGGTAGCCATCATTGTGCCCAACATATCTTCACAGATGAGGGAACCCAATCTTAGAGAGACGGAATGATATTCTGAAAACACACATACACACACATACACAAATAAAATCATAGAAAGGAATCTCATGTGTACTATTCTTTTGTGCATTGCTTTCTGCTATTTTCATGGTCGGTCTGAGGATTGCCCATTTTCTATTTTGTGGTTTTTTTTTCCTTTCAGGGGTTTATTTTTCTCCCTTTTCTTAGATTTTTCTGGATTTCTCCATGTCTCAGTAGGATTTTTATTGCTGTGAAGAGACCATGACCATGGCAACTCTTATAAAGTAAAAAATTTAATTGGGGTGGCTGGCTTACAGTTTCAGAGGTTCAGTCCATTATCATCTTGGCGGGGACCGTGCAGACATGGTGCTAGAGATGAAAGTGTGGCATCTTGCAGGCAACAGGAAGTAGACTGACTGTCACACTGAGGGGAGCTTGAGCAAAAGAGACCTGAAAACCCACCCCCACAGTGACTCACTTCCTCCAAGAAGACCACACCTCCTCATAGTGCCACTGCCTTTGGGGGCCATCTTCTTTCAAACCACCACACCTTCCTTCATCTTCCACTCATTTGCAATTTATACGCCCTACTTCCCTTCTGACCGTGATCTTAGAAATTGTAACACCTACAAACAACTTGTTAATAGAAGCTTGTGCCTTGACTTTCCCTTTAGCAATCTGAGTGCCCCCGAAGACTTATCCCTGGTAATCCCTGACTGCTTCTGTGGTCTGTTTTCACTTTTGCCTTTCATTTTTGACCCCGAGAAGTCTTGTTTTACACAGATGGTGTTTGCTTCAATTGGTCACAGTGCTCGGCCTGTGCATCTGAGGCTTCCATCTGGAGTCTCGGGTCTTCTGTCTGGAGTACAGCGCCTGGGGGTGGGGTGGGAGGAGTCTGCTCATGACAAACTTTCAATCTTTGCTTGTCTGAGGATATTTATTTTGCTTCCTCTTTAAAATACAGCTTTACTGGCTATGGAAATCTGGGGTCAGTGGTTATCTCCTGATGTTTGTTCCTGTTGCTTCTGTGACTCCTTCAAGATGATCTCTCACCCCACCCCAGATTTTCCATGCCTTTAAAAGACATTCTTTTTTTTAATTTTCTTTTTATTGAATACTTCTGTAATGTGACATGTTTTTAAGAGTTGGAATTCTAAGCCAAGTCTTTTTTTTCTTTCATATTTGGTTTTAGGTCCTCAACTTTTTTTTAAAGTTTTATTTACTATGTATACATATATGCCTGCACACCAGAAAAGGGCACCAGATCTCATTACAGCTGGTTCTGAGCCACAGGTAGGTGCTGGGAATTGAACTCAGGACCTCTGGAAGAGCAGCCAATGCTTTTAACCACTGAGCCATCTCTCCAGCGCCGCCAGGTCTATTTTTTAACTATCTTTCACATCCTGCATCTTGATCCCATTCGTTTCTCCATTCCTTTGAATCTGCCCTCTGCCCTTGAAACCTCCGCCCAAAATAAAATAAAGTATCTTTTTTGTTTGTTTGTTTGTTTTGAGACAGGATCTCTCTGTGTAGCTTTGGAGACTAACCTGGAACTTGCTTTGTAGACCAAGCTAGTTTCAAACTTACAGAGATCGGCCTGCCTCTGCATCCCTGCCTCTGCATCCCTGCCTCTGCATCCCAAGTGCTGGGGTTAAAGGCATGTGCCACCACCGTCTGGCTAAAATAAAATTTAAGAGAGAGGGGGGGCCGGGGGAATCGGCCTGGTCATTGTAGTGATATTTTATTTGTAATCTAACAAATAAAGCTTGCTTGAAGATCTGAGTGCACAGCTAAGCCACTAATTAGCCACACACACACACACACACACACACACACACACACACACACACACACACACTAAGTCACTAGTTAGACATATACCTAAGCCACTAGTTAGCCATAGAGGACAGGCAGTGGTAGCCACATCTTTAATCCCAGCCTGTGGGAGATGGAGGCAGATGGATCCCTGTAAATTCAGGCCACCCAGGCTGCTTGAGAGTGGATCAATCTAGAAGAGAAACAGCTCACACCTTTGACCCCAGCACTTGGGATGACCTGCCTTTGGTACCAGCACTAGAGAGGAGTATAAGGCTGGCAATGCAGTCTCAGGACAGTCTGAGGTTTGGTGGAGAACATTGCAGTCTGCAGTCTCTCTGAGGACAGGATCACCCCTGCCCCCACCCTTTGGTCTGAGCCTGGTAGAGGTAAGTACCTCTAGTGGCTTGGCTGCTTTGCTTTTCTGATCTTCAGCTTTAACCCCCATATCTGTCCCTGGGTTTTTATTATTTGTGCTACAAATAATGGAAGCTGTAGTGTGGCACAGTGAGTCATGCAGTGAGCCCATTTATCCGTATGCCCTTACTTGCAAGTGTTTCTTGAAAAGTCATTGGTCTGGTTCAAGGCCCCTGGTTTCTGCTACACTATTGATGCTGGACCCTCACTGCGACTCCTCTTGCATATCCTGTTGCTGCCCTGTGTTGTGGAGGTCCTGAAGCTTTGGGTCTGCAGGACCGGCCCCTTCACATGCTCCAGCAGATCACAGATGGGGTGGATGGTGGAGTGGGCCAACTCATAACCCTGGTTCTGGGCTTGGGTAGTTGCAGGGTTGGTCAGCCCACCAGCTCTCCTTTGTCTTCACCACTAGGGTGAGCTCTCCAACATTGCCCTGGATAGTTCACTCCCGCAGCAATGAGGAAGGCGTGGGGCCAGTTCTGCTTTCATACCCTCCCACACCTACACCATAAAGGCCAGGCAAGATTCAGAGGCCACTTTCCCGAGTGCTGCAGTTCATGAGGGGCAGAGACAATTCTCCAGCTCTTATGACCTCAGGGCCAACTTTTCCACCTGCCACAGGTGGCGAGGGTTGAGGGGTAGAGGGCATCTCTCCCCCACCCACAGCACTGTGGCGCCAGCGTCACAAGCAACTCCAAGGTATCAGGAAAAGAGAGACCAGACATCCAGCTGTTTGTACTAAGAGAATGCATGTGCTGCCTTTATTGCCAGGAGAGAGTGTCTGTGTAAGTCTTCATTGCAAGTGCTAAGAGGTCTCTCCCTTGTAGGAGGGAGGAGCTTTATATACATGTTTACAGCACAGTGGAAAAAACCCCAGGTAGAAGAGATCATTGTTTTCCTCCTGCTGGATGTTGATGTCAGAGGGTCAAGGCCAGGGCAGTAAGCCAGGACTAGAAAACAGAAAGCACTTGGACTGGAAAACAAGTTGCACTTGTAGGCTGACCAGCAACTCATGGAGACCCCATGGGGCTGGGGCCCAACATCTCCCCCCTTCTTTATATATAAATTAGCACCTATCTCAGGTGACTAGGACGTTAATGCCAATTTTAGTATACAAAACCAAAAATTTATAAACAATATTTGGGAATGTGGGCGTCGTTCTTTCCAAACTACTTCCTGTTGTTAAGGGGCGGTGAAATACCATGGGGATCATGACAAAACAAAACAAAAAAACAAAACCCAGAAACCTGTTGAAGTTCTTGTTTTTGTGGTCTGTAAGGCTGCATCATCTCAGCTGTTTTAGGTGTTGGATCACCTGGGCCACTGCTTCAGGTGGTCTTGCTTCATCAAACCATAGTAGTCTGGAAGGAACCCACAGCTTTTTATGTTCTGTGGAAACAAAAGCAGAAATTCTTTTCCCAAGTAACCTGTCCTTATATTTAAATTTAGAAGTCAAAGCATTTTTCAAAACATGCAAGTTGGATTAATTTAGCAACATTAATAATCAAATGTCTTTTAGCAGTTTTTGTTCCTTTCTTAGCAATTAAACAATTTAAAGACAACACAACTGTACACAGTATCCATACTCTGTGTATTTTTCATTTCATATACTTTTAACTTTTCCTTTTCTTTTACTTAATACCAGAACCTCATTTATTAACTATTACCAATTTTCAGTTTACCCACTTTTAATCCATCCTCCAACTGAGGATGATCTCTCAGGTTCCCCTTTCTTTCCTGACCTTGGTGTCAGGCGAAGGCCTGGAGATTTAGTCCAATCCACCCTCCAACCTAGGGTGATCTCTCAGGTTCCCCTTACTTTCCCAACCTTTGTTGGGCGAAGGCCTGAAGATTTAATCCAATTAATTTTACTGTTAGAAGTTGAGGTACTTGTTTTTAATTCTTTTCTTTCTCCAGTCTCTCCTTTCCGAGTCTTCTATCTGGCCAATCTTTTCCAGTCTTTCCAAGTCTCTCTGGATCTCGGTGGGACCTCCAATTGTGG